CTTCCACATAAATTACAGTTCATGCTAAGACAACTGTTTACGTGCATCACTCTGATACAGGGCAGTGGCTCACTAACACTAACACAAATGTTAAGGCCTAGCACCATTGTAATTTGTCATTCCTCATCCTCATCTTCATCGTAATACCGATTTCTCTTTATCTGTTCCTCTACAGACAGCTCTTTGACTACATCTCCCTCCCAGACTCCCATATCTTGGGATTTTTGATTCTGAGCAGTGAATTCTTCAGTAGATGTATTGTCTGCAAAGCTGGACCAATTTGGAGACTTGGGTTCTAGTGGAGACTGCTGTTTGGAAAGGTCTCTATCATCTTTATCTAAGTTTGCCCCATTTTCTACAAGATTCTCACTCTCCATCTCAAAACCACGAATTTCCTTATTTCTCCAACCTGCCTCCCCTCCTTTAGAGTCCTTATTTTGCCAGGTTATTTTCCCCACACTCCCATTCTTCTCAGAGTTGTTGGCATTTTCCTCATGCTTCCTTCCTGCTGCTATTTCTCCTACAAACTCCTCACTCTGCTCCGAAATGCTCCAGCCTTTCCTGAAAGGTGGGGACAAGGTTTTTGGGCTCTTGACTGAAGTGGTTCGAAATGAAGCTGCTACAGTGAAGGGGCGGCTTCTTTCCTTCAGTGAAGAAGATCGTCTTAGCTTCTTCAGATCCAGATCTACGTCCTCTGGAACTTCAGGCTTGCTGATTTCATCCTCAGGGGGCCATTTGGGCTTGGATACTTTGATCCCTTCCTCCAATGTACTTCCTGAACTGCCAAGTTCAGTGGGGGGCGGCCACGCTATCCTCAACTTCTTGGTTTCAGCTGGCTTTTCTTCTTTTTCTGGCTGAGAGGAAGCCTTGGCTTCCATACTTGCGGTCAGCACACCCACCTTAGCAATGGGTGCATCTTCTACCCCTGGGCTCTGAGGAGTCTCCCCTGGATTTGGAAGCTGGGCTGGTCTCTCCAATATCTCTTCATTTTCATTTTTGCTTGACCATAGATCCTTGTGTGGTCTGTGCCCAAAGCCTTCATCGTAGTTACCTTTTGATTTAAAGAGCTGATTGAAATGAGGCTTGCAATAGATTCTCCCATGTAATGATGCATATGTTCCTAGACTGTTGTTAAAAGAAAAAAAAGTATCAAGTTAATAAATTCGTGTACTTCTATTTATACCAACAGGCTGAAATCTGGCAATTCCAATATTTTCAGAAGATGCTAAGTGAGAAAAATATCTTTAAAAGCTCATCAATCACCTAGGATTCTCTTTGCTCACTTATCCTTATAAAAAAACATGTTCGCTTCCAGACCTGAATCTTCACAAGACATTCTTCTACCTGGTACATGCTTCCATTTTCAAATGATTTCATTCCCCTTTGTCAAAACTGTTAAAAAAAAAAATGACTTCATTCAGGAAGTCTTCCCTAGGTGATCCCACCTAGCTCTGATCACTCACATATTTTCTAAGTATTTATAACCTATAACTACTTATAATGATATTCCTTTATAAAAAGTTGAGTCTTTTCCCTCCTGGTTTCCCAGCTGTGTTTGAATTTAAAAGCACATCTCTACTGGAATGGGTGCAATGAGCTGTAAGCAGTTAGTACTCAATAGATACTAGTGACTGAACAAAAGTAAGCTATGGTTACTAAAAGAAGGGTGAGCAATAGCCAGGAAGTAATTCTACCTTAATATATCAGTACTAAACAGGTCTTGAGGAGATTTGGTATCTCTAGAAGGGTTACAATTTTAAAGAACATATAAAAACAGCAGTATTTCCACAGAAGAAATATAAAAATTCAAGAATTCAGAAAAATGTTCTTTGGAGAAAAAAAATACTAAAGTGGGCAGAAAAAGAACCAGTGAGTGCAAGTTAGAGAGGCACATTTTGGCTCAATAGAAAAGGAAAGTTATTGAGCTAGAGTTATCTAACACTGAAACTAGTTGTGGTGAGCCATCAACCCCACAGGACATCATTCAAGAGTATTTTAGAAGGGATGCTTGCCCTGGAAAGAAATCTGGACGATTCGTCCTGGTTACTCCCTTTTCTAGACTCTATGGTTAAAATGAGTTAATATGGAATATTTCCCCAATTTGCACATTTATATCCATACTTTGAGTTATTTGGAAGAAATGATACATAATGATAATTTTCTCAGAAAAAAATAATTCAACATACAGAAAAATACATGCTCTTCAGAGTCTATTATTATTGCTATCATTACCGTTCATACAGTGCTCAGGACAAAAACACTCCATTAAATTTGGTCACATGGGGTTTTATCAGCAACCCTATTACTTAAGCTTCAGTCCTAGCATGTAAATTAACATATCAATGTAACGAAAAGTTCCAAACACCACTATCATTTGATATGAAATACTTGTCTCTAAATGGTACTTTTTACATTTTTCAGGGACCTTCAACTAATAGCACACTATTAGCACATAGCTGCTAGTGCTCGAAAGGCTAAAGACCCACTCTGCAGGTGCAACTTGACAGAGAGATGGTTTGTTTTGGTCTGGCTCACCTAAGCTTGTTGTTGCAGTAGGAGCAACGGAAGCAGCTGATGTGAAACACCTGCTGATTGGCCAATAGACGCTCCATCGGGTAGACTGTCTTCTGACATTCCACACAGGTCTCTCTTGCAGGTACCTGAAACTTCTAGAAAAAGGAAAAGGATAACTTTAACTAGTATAGGCAGTGATGAGTTAGTATTATGCTGAGGTGGGCCTTGAGATTTACTTTGTTATCTAAGGGCTCCCTTACCTGGTCTGTCAATTCTCATAGGAACACTAAGTCTGCTCTGATTCTACCTGATGACTCTTTAAAGCCAAGAGGCTTTCTTGAGTTACATTCCCAGATTGTCTGGCTGCCCTAAGTGTTGCAGCCACTGAGATGGGTGACACTAGGGCTGGACTGCAGAGAAAGGCTTAGAGAAGCCACCACACATAAAAAACAGTATACACAAAATTTTTCTGCAGACAGGAAATTAGGAGAAAAGGTCATCAGACGCAGAAGTAGTTTGACTGTTTGATTCAAGTGCCAAGTAAAACCAGGACAGACTTTTATAAGAACAAATTCTGAAAGGGATAAATTTCAAGCAGAGGAAGAGTATTTGGCTTTGAGAATTAGGAAAAGACACTTTGATAAAGAATCTTTTGGTGAACTCTCTGCTTATAATCCTGACTTGCTCAATTCGCTAGGCCTAATCTTTTAAAATAAGTCAAAACTGACACATCAATGGAACAATTTAAAAGGCATACAAACTATTTTATTAGGATTCCAGAAGAGAGCATAGTCCAATAAAGCTATAGGTTCTATAATCTTAAACAAACAAACAAAAAAATGTGGAGAATAAAACTAAGGCAATGGGGAATGGGAAGTCACAACAGACTGGGAATCATGAACTGTTTGTAAAGGGTGGAATAGGGTGGGGTGAGCTCAGCTGTTCTACCTGGTAAACCCAACTCTAAAGAACATAAAATACTTGGTATTCTAGCACTGATGAAAGCCAGAATTCCAAAACTGTAAGTTTTCACACAATAAGAAATGGTTACATGGCTACTAGGTGTGGGGGTAACAAGTCTTTAGTTGTATGTTAACTCTTGACTTGCCCCAACAAAAATACTCAATCAGTAAAGATGGAAGTCACTTAGATTAAGGTAGCCAGGAAGCTCTCACAGATACCTTGGTGGTCCCTTGACTGCCAACACTAGTATGGTGATAAATAATGCAAATTAATCCCAAGGCCCAGCCCCTGAATGGTTAAGGTAAGTGAAAATAGGCCAGGTTATGGGCAAGACAGAATTTTGATTTAAAAACTTGAAAATAGACACATAAATAATTTAGACTGCCAGTTCACTTGCCACATGATTCCCTAGGAGATAAAGCAAAAAATAGGAATGGTTTTCCAAGTAGATTTAGATAGCAAGTGAGAGTAGAAAACAGACATAAAATGAAATTAAAGAGAAAGATCTATAAAAGGGAGTTTAATAAAATTAGTATGAAATTCTCAAATAGCACCAAAGAATTTAAGAATGAAGGAGCAGAACTGAGTGGAAATGGCTCCAAAAGAGCACCCTTCTCCATTCCTAGGGGTAGGGCCCTAAAAGAAAAACCAAATCAAAGACCATAGGCTACAACCTAGTTTACCAAGCATGAGAAAGGTATTTAAATGAGACCAAATGTTATTGTATTGAATGCTGTTAGAAGTAATTAAGGCATTATTTGGAGCTCAGAATTCTTTTTTTCTTACATGGACATTTCTAACAAGATAGGACCTAAGTGGAGATGTCCTGGCATAGTTTAATTAGGTTTCTCTAAAAAAAACTAGGCCCTTGTCTCGTAAGCAGGAAATACATTAAAATGCAGAATAATTGGGTATAATAGTACAATTGATGTCACTGAAGGGAGCCTGCACAAATCACAATTCACATAATATAAAAGTAATAAGACATGTATTTATCAGATTGAAAATCTTTTTCAGCTGCAGAGTGGATTCTGTATTTTTTTTTTTTTTAACATGACTTAGGAGAATAAGTATTCATTCTGGTCAGTAAGGACAGAGCAGGAGAAAAATTTCATATGGTATAGGAGGAAATGGGTATTATTTAGCTAACGGGGGATGGAGGGCTACAGAGCTTGCCTCCATTATACACACACACAGAACACACTGTAGGAGAGGGGTGCAGCCCAGTGAATAGAAGGGAGAACCTGAGAGAAAACTGAAAGTTGAGCTCACATTAGGAGGAAAGTGGAAGGCAGGAGCAGAAATTAGGTACCGGGAGCAGGAAGCAGAAGCTGGAAGAGACAAACAGGAACCTTCAATGAATACAGAGCATTTTGGTGCGCCCTGGAGCGCTTTATTGCAGCTGAGCTGAAACTCAGTTACAGACTCAGATCCAAGAGTAAGACCATGTTTTCTTCCTTTTTCAAGTAACTCTGCTAATCGTGGCAAAATCAGCCTCACTCATATCTACCTGACGCTGGAACACATCCCAGTGCTGTAGAGAGAGTTTTATGAGCCTTCACCCACACACGAGGAGTGTTTCATTAACAATTCTTTAGTGTCTAACTATCTTCCACATCTGACCCACAATGGCTCTCTCTTGAATGGAGCCTTTCATCCATACAAGTGAAAAATCATTTTCTCCTTAATATCAAATAATACAGGCATTCCTTGTTTTACTGCGCTCCCCTTTATTGTGCTTTAAAAATGTTGTGTGTTTTAAAACTGACAGCAGGACCTTCCATCAGTAAAAAGATTACAATTCACTTTATTGTGGTGGTCTGGAACCAAACCTGCAATATCTCCGAGGTATGCCTACAGATCGCCGCTCACATATCTGACTAACCAACCACAAACTTCTAACTAGCCAGATCTACCAGATTCTCATGATTCCTATTCATTTCTTATATAAACCCCTTTTAATATTACTTAAGGTTTATGAGGCAGCTGCCCAAGGGCCCTTATAGTTTCATAAAGATAAGATGATGCCAACATGGCATAATGCCTGGTCAGAGTGGCTGCGCCTGTGCCTTTCCTTTATTTCCTCTGTCCTGGGCTCTCAGCCACTTTCCTGTAATTGCCCCCATGTCTATTCAGACAAGAGGAAGCAGAGTCAGTGCCCAAAAATCTCTACCATTATGGTAGGCCTGGCGTACATCCTGCCCATGCCTTCATGGCATGCTCGGACTTGGCATAGCTGCATTTAAAACACTGCCAATATTAGAATGTTAGACATTTTTTATCTTAACAATATATTTTTCAGTCGGTAAGATGTTTTTTTCACTTCCCCTCCATTACCCTTTTTCACATGTAGAAACTAATGCACCAGGATGTCAGGTGCCTTATCAAAGTTCTCACAGCCAGTACCTTAAAACTCAGAACTCCCAACTCACAGACTAACAGTGCATTTTCTAAATTTCTCTAGTATGTCAAATTCCCATAACTAAAGGAAATTCATTAGAGAAGAGAGCAGATGCTAACCCAAATGAAAATAATCTCACTGCAGCACTTTGAACAAACTACAGTCTTCATTTCAAATTAAAATATGTAGATAATATCTTTGGGATATTAAAAAATGAATGAAGTAATACGTAAATAATTGATGTTTATAAACACTGTCATGTCTTTCCCATCTAAGGGATCTTACAGGCCCTCTGCCGATCAGCATCTATTTAAAGTTATTTTTCCAACATATGTGCATGACTTCATTTACATTCTTTCACTCTCTTAAGTATATATTTTAATCTAAT